CCTTCTAGTTGCTGTATGTGGGACTCGGCCTCAGGATGGACGGAGAAGTGGTGCCTCGATGCGCACCCGGGATCCGAACCCGGGCCGCCAGCATCGCAGCGCGCGCACTTAACCACCAAGCCACAGGGCCGGCCCCAGATTCACCCTTTAAATACAAACAGTGTGACAGCTTTAGCTATATGATGTTTAAACATGACTCTGTAAAGGTTTTTTACACTAATATCAATTCCAAAAATAGCAGTTAGGTTTGGTTATATATTGGCAAAGCAAACATTTACCTAAATTGGTCATGCTGGTAGCTGAGAAAATACCTCAAGCTTTTTGGTATGCTCCTGTGTATACATATGTCTCACTCATTGCTTACACTTTTCAAACATGCAAGAACAATGCATAAAATCTGTACCTTGCACGGGAGCGATGGAGTTCACAACTTGAAACGTGGGGCTGACATCAGAACAGATTCCAGTTGTGTAATGCAAGTGGCCACATCTGTAGGCATATAAGGGCCCACATGCCTTTTAAAAAATTAAAAAATATTAAAAACCATAAGATTAAAAATTATGTAACAGATTTTTATAAAGACTTACAGTGATAGCATTACTGGTTCATTAACTGTCATTAATTACTCTTTGCTTTCTTACCAGAAACCCTCCCTTTGGGTTGGTGACTAAAGTTGATCCAAATGTCATGTTCTCCTTTACTTCTGTGACATTGGGAATTGATGTATTAACTAAAAATAGAACAAAATTTTATGAGGGTGAAAAACAAAGTAAAATTGTGTCTTATCATTAAAACATTCTATTTGCTTTGCTTATATCATAGCACATTCTTCTTTTGGCTCAACTAAATAGTCTTCAAAGTATTATTAAGGAATATAATGAACAAGCGAAGGCTGCAAACCTGGCTTATGTCCCAGAAACTTTGTCTGGATCATTGTCTCAAATAGTTTTTACTGAACTGTAAAAGAATGCAGAACTATTGGCGCAATGAGGATGTGGGATAGTTTTTCACACATTTTCACTAATTAAAAAAAACAAAATATTTAGTCTCATAATATTGTAGATATAATGTAAACTTACACACTTATCTTACATGTTATATCTACAAGTTATAAATGATCAATGATGAAACATGATTTCTGGCAAAAAGAAGGAAAACAGGTAGAAGACCAGAAGAAAAATCCTCAAATACAAGTTTTTTGACCATTAACTTCATCATTATGGGGACATCATCAGGGTTACAAAGAAAACTGGAGCAAGATTAGAGTGTGGTCAGGAAGTCTGGATAAAAGAAACACAATGAAGGGGCTACAATTGACATCCCAAACAGGAAGGCTGGGTCCTGAAGCATGCCAACCTGGCAAAATTCGCAAGAAGTTCCACTTATTTACATTAAAAAAGGAAAAAAGATCGGACAGCAAAAGCAAAAGCTTCTAAACCCTGCTTAGCAGAGTGCTGAAATATTTGAAAGTGGCAAAACTCAAGTTCAAGAAAGATTTATCTCACCGTTCATGCCTAGAAGTTTTTCCTACCTTAAGACTATATATAGTTTTAAAGTGGGGAATGGAAGCACAGATTCCTGAATGGTCACATTAGCCTTCTAATCTGAGCATTGGTCTTTGTCCCAGAGTTTAGTCTGGTTGCTTTAAAAGTACCTAGAACTGGGCTATTATCTAAACTGGGCTTGAATAACCTGGATTAGAGGTTTTTATACCAGGGTTGACCCAGGATAAGCATTCCTGGGGTATTAGGCACTATAGCAGAAACTTCCCTACTGTTCTTGATGTAGCTAAAATCTCCATGTTAATGTTAAAACACGATTCCAGTTATGGAGGAGTAGCTCCTATCAGAACAACTACTTTGCAAATAATAATTATAAACTAGGAAAAGAAAAAAAAAATTTATGAAACAACTCTCTAAATGCACAGGAAAGCAACCAAAAGCAGGCAGAAACAGGAGAGGAGTCTATACTGGAGGGAAATCTATACTTGTAAGAAGAGATTAGCACTGGGTGAGTTTCCTGTTTTTGTGTCTGTTTGTTTTCCCCTAAGAGAAGGCCCTGGTCAGTAGCTAAACCTCAAATAGAATTCACAGTCCTACTGTCTTGAAGAAACAGAAGACAGCATTTGGGGTAATGACAGCAACTGCAGAGCGAGGGGGATATCTTAGGCAGTAGAGTCACAAAAGGAGAGTTCTAATATATGTGCATATATTCTGTCCAAATATCTACATGACCTGAACTGTATATGTGCAGGGTAAACTTCAAACAGCCCAGACAAAATTAGAAGAACTGAATCGAGATTTTTAACTGCTTCCCACTGCAGTTTGCATACTGAGTTCAGCCAAGTAAATTGCCTGCTAAAACAAAAAGTTAAGACTATTCAAAGGCACATAACAGATCTAGATTCTCCACACTTATAACTCAAAAGTATAATCCAAAATTACTAAACATAAGAGGAAACATGAAAATGTGACCCAACCTCAAGAGAAAGGTAATAAATGGAAAGTGATGTTGAGATATTCCAAATGTTGGAATTATCAAGCAAGGATATTAAAGCAGCTATTATAACTATGCTCATGAATGTAAATGAAAAAATGTTCATAATAAACACACAGAAAGGAAATTGGAAAAAAAAAGAACTGAAAAATACAATATCTGAAATAAACCTGTAGGGTAGGAGTCATTTCTATGGTATTTAATATTGTATAGAATACTGACAGGATTCTAAATCCTGGACAGTTCTAGTAGGAATTTTCTAGTCATGTTCTAATTACAGTGATATTTCTATCAAATATATCTATTTCAATATAAATTTGCCTTGTGCTATTCTCTTTTTAAAAATTAAATTTATCTGTTGCAATTCCTCTTGTGCTACTTTCTTTTAAAAAAGAAACACTAAGTTACACTTTGAGGAGGAAATGTGACAGGCAGGTTTATTTGGAAAAGTTCTTTTATGTTACCACTGGCTTACAAAGGATTCTGAACAATGGAGGCAGTTAAAAGTTACAAAACTAGTAAGATCTTCTAAATCTATGGATATTCTATGAAGAATTTCTAAAGCAAATAAAGGTACAGGGAATCAAAATGTCATTTTACGGGGCCGGCCCCATGGCTTAGCAGTTAAGTGCGTGCGCTCCGCTGCTGGCGGCCCAGGTTCGGATCCCAGGCGCGCACCACCGCACTGCTTCTCCGGCCATGCTGAGGCCGCGTCCCACATACAGCAACTAGAAGGCTGTGCAGCTGTGACATACAACTATCTACTGGGGCTTTGGGGGAAAAAAAAAACGTCATTTTACGTAAATTTGAATGATAAGAACTGAAGAATGTTTATAGATTACTTTTAATATATTCTTGAGTTGGTTGAAATTTATTTTCACTGAGAGTATTGGGCATAACTTAGGATCAGACTTGAACATTTTGACTTTACATACCTGGTAGATCCAACTTGACGCAAGGTAATGATTCGCCTCTCCCAACTGGACACTTATAGACATCTCCAGTTCTGTTGTTGGGTTGGCCAACTAAAGGAGAACCAATAAGCACCCTGGAAGTTAAATAACTCAATTAATATTTTTTGAACAATGAGAAACATTTTATTTTAGTTATTTTATGACTAGTTCTAAGACAATTGACTAGTTCCCACAGACATAATCAGCTAGTCATTCTTTGTTAGTAATTTAATGTTATCTAAAATAAGCACAGTGTCTTCTCCAAATTGCAGATGCATTTGAATTAAAAAACCATAAAATATATAGGGAAGATATCTCAGAATATTTTATTTTTTGTATTATATATTACTTTATCGCATTTTTTATTTGAGGGCCAAAATAATTATTGGTTAAGCCTGCTGTTGTGTTAGTTTACAAAACACACAGGGAAGTATAAATGACTTTTTTCCCATGAGGAACTGATAATTTCATAGAGAAGTTAGGAAATATAAACATTTGATCATCATAAGATTTAATATTAGTGTGTGCTAGTTTTTAAGAATTTAGAAAACAAGGACAGTTATGAGACCCATGTTAAAATCAATTATCTTTTTAGATAGAATTATAAATCACTCTAATAATAATTAATGGAAAAAATAAAATCATGATTTATTTTAGGCCTAGCAAGTAATTTAACAAGGTCTCTTATGACATCTTCAGGAATAGGATGGATGAATGTGGTTGAGTGTTAAGGTACTTGGGTGGATCCACAGCTGTTGATTCCACAGCTGTATCCAAAGACGCTGATTACTAGCAACCAAAGGACTCTAATTATGCACTATAAGATTGCATGTGGGATTGTCTTAGCCTATGTCTTTATTAATGACTTGAGTGAAGATACAGAAAGCATTAAGGCACTCATCAAGTAAATCAATATACATATCCAGGCATTAAGAAATGTCTCAACACTCTAAAACAAGAAACTTAAACAAACTAGTTAAAGTTTAATAAGAACCTATGTAAATAACTTCACTTAACTGCCTACTATTATCTACATCAGTACAGGATGTGGGAAACCTGACTTAATAGGAGTTTGTGTGAAAAAGTCATGGGGGATTTAGTTGACAGCAAGTAAACCATGAGCCAACAGCGTTTTAGTGCCAAAAATGCTAATGTGACCTTAGGCTGCATTGCTGGAAATAGATGCCCTGGTCAAGGAAAGTCATAGCCCCTCTGTGCTCTGCACTGTCAGGCCATGTCTGGAATCTCCAAATTAAGAGGGACATAGGCACAATGGAATGTATTTAGGAGACTATGACTCAGATGGTTAAGAGGCTGGTAATTTTGTCAGACCAGAGATGCTTGAGGGAAAGTTGGTCTGTTTAGCATGGATAAGGAATGTCTGAAGGAGAGTTGAGATATTGTATAGGAGTGCAGGTGGATTGGGCACACATTTTTAAAAATCTAAATATACGAAAGTCTGTCATATTGAAAAGGGATGGAATTTATTTTGTGTAAGTCCTTTGGGCAAAGATAGCAGTAATGGAAATAAGTTTTATAACAATTGCAAATACTAAATTGTTAGACTCCCTAAAACACAGTTATGATATAATGCCTTTGCAAAGCCATTTCTGATATGCACAAATAACCATACAAATGTTCAAACTCTTTAACGCATAATTCCCACTTCTGGGAATCTACCCTAAAAAAATGACCTAAATTAAGGGAAAAAAGCTTCACGCATAAAGATAACGCTCATAGTGTTACATATAATAATAAAAGATGAAAAGATATATGATAAACAGCAAGAATTAATTAACTATTGAAGGGTCATTGTATGGACTATTGTGCAGTCATAAAAATCAACAGTTAATAAGATTGCATGGTAGGATTAAAAATTATTTATGACCTAATTTAAAGTAAAAACCTACCTAATTTAGTGATAACCTATGGCAATTTAAAGTGAAAGATACCAAATTATATTCAATGTACTCATTATAATAGCAATGCAATAATAGCTAGCATTTTTTAAATTCATACCAAGTGCTAGACACTGTTCTAAGTGCTTTCCATGTATTAGGTAATTTAATTTTCTCCATAAAATATAGCATGAACTTTGGGGCCAGACTTCACAAGTTCAAATCATGGCTTTACCATTTACTTAGCTGTATGGTCTAGGACAAGTTGATTACCCTCTGTGCCTTAGTTTCTTCATCTGTAAAATGGAAATAAGAGTAGCTACCTCACAGGATCATAATGAAAATTAAATGAGTCAATGTATATAAAATGCTTAAAATACCATTTGGCTCATAGTGTGTGCTAAGTGTTAGTTCTTTCTATTATTATCTCTTTTTTTTTTTCCAGGTGATGGAACTTCTATATCTATGATAAGCATAGATTAAAAGGGAGTACACCAAAAAACAAACTATATTAAGGAGGTTACGGTTAGGTTTCTTTCCCCAATATTTTCAAAGCTTTTTGTAATGTGATTGATTAAAATAGTTTTATAGTTAAAACAATTGAGAGAAAAATAGCGAGCCTACTGTTATGGAAAGTACTGGAGACCAGGTAGACTGATTAATGTTTATTAAGAACATTCTGCATGCCCAGCATTTATGCCAGGCCCTGGGAATATGAAATGGATAAAATACAATTTTTTAGATTGCTTAAAACTTAGGGAGGAAGCAAAACTATAAATGTACTATTATAATACTGAATAGTCTGAACCTGGTGCAACTTCAGCCAAGTCTCAGAAGCAAGAAAGAACACCACTCTTTTGATAAGTTTAAGTAGCTCAGTGCAGCTGCAGTAGAAGTTGAGCCTGGCAAGATAAACAGGCTCCAGATCATGGATGTTCTCACGGTCCACTTTAAGAACTTTGGATTTATTATACGGAGGGGAAAGTTAGGAACCAATGAAGATTTTAAAGAGGGATGTGACATGGCCAACTCTGATTTATAAAGATTATTTGCTTGCACTGTCATGAATAAATTGGGAAAAGGGGCAAATTAGATTCAGAGAGTGAAGGTAAGGATTCCTAAAGTAATCCAGATGAGAAAGAAGGATCTGAATTAAGAGAGTGGAGAGGAAGGAATAACCAATTGTCAAAATATTTAGGATATAAGCTGTCTTCGTTTGGGTTCCCCCAAAAGCAGACCCTAGACTAAGACTTTGGTACAGATAGATTTTGGGGAGGCAATGCCAAGTATGTGCAAATGTGGAGGCGAGGAAAATGACAGGGAAGGAAGAGAGGCCAATAAAGAACGCACTGATAATGGATTACTTCTGTGGCATCTGGGCACAGTCTTGCTGGGGAACATCTCAGAAACCATTTGGAACATACAGGAGCATGCTGTGAGCATGGTTGAGGCCCTAAGAGTAAATACTATCACTTCAAGAGAGTATAGAGCAAGAAGAAAGTTGCAGGCTGACATCTAGGGGAAAATAACACAAGATTTTAATGAGCGAAGGAAGGAAACTGATAGGAGTGATCAGAGAGAGAGAATCAGGAAACGGTGGTGTCACAGAAGCCAAAGAAGGAAAGAATATCAAGAATGGGAGCCATGGGTGTGGAGCAGACTTATTTCAGACTTATTAAAGGTTTGAGGCCACTTTAAATTTATTATGGAGGAAACCTGGATATGGTTAAATCACGATGAGAAAGAACCAAGAACAAGAGAAACGCTGATGTCGCAGGAAAGGGGTATAGTCCCTGAGCAGGTAGAAGTGGTGGATCCAGAATTTGTCTTAGAAATGAGAAAGGCTACCGGTTCCCTCGGCAGGGCTCTGGATGGCCCAGTAGCCACAGGTTTGTAAGTGTGGTAGATGGTTTGGAATTTTGTGCATGTTTGCAATGTGACATTGTCCCCCATTGTCCTTCATTGAGGCAAAATCTATTTTTCCTCCTGTTGAAACTGGGATTTGCTTGGTAATTCGAATGCAGCAGAAATCACACTGTGACTTCTGAGACTAGGTCTTAAGAGGCATTGTAGATTCCACTTTACCTTTTTTTGGAAACCTGAGAGCACCACGCTGTGAAGAAGTCCGGTCTAGGTCTAGCCTAATGGAGGATGCGAGGCTACACGGAAGAGAAGCCATGCTTGAGCTGACGGGACGAAATGCCAGCTATGTGAGTTAAACTGTCTCGGACCCTCTAGTCCCAAGTGAGGTACCAGATGACTCCAGCTGCATGAATGAGTATGCATGCAGTTCCCCAGACAGCAGGGGAACACCTATTCAATCCTGAAAACCTTGAGAAATAACCAATTATTGTTGTTTTATGCACTAAATTTTGGCGTGATTTGTTGTGCAGCAACAGCTAACTGAAACAGGAAGGGAGGATAAATTTTTGACCTTCCTTCCTTCCTCCCTCCCTCCCTCCCTCCCTTCCTTCTTTCCTCCTTCCCTCCCTCCCCTTCCCCTTCCTTCCTTCCTTCCTACCTCCTTTGGAATACAGTAGCTGTAGTCATCTGGTGAGATTTAGGGGGAGCGGTAGCAGGGTGACGGGGTTGTGGAGAGTAATGAGGATTTAAACTGACAAGACATCCACAGGTCAGTCAGGCAGCCACTTAGGCCACGAGGAGGTAGGTGACAGCTGGTCAGGTATGTTTTGGAAGGTGTTTCTACTGCAGACGTAAGATAGGCCTCCAAAGACGTTTCAATTCTAAGATTCCATCATCTGAACAGAACAAATTTTAAGTATGTAGAGGAGCACTGATTAGTTGGAAAACATGTACCATTAACTGGGGAATATCGAGGATAATGGATGAAAGTGAGTCCTCAACAGCATGTTAACAGTAAAGTGATTGTGAGTGATAAGGCAGGAAGGAAGAGTGATCCTCGATAGCCTAGACACAAGTGAGGAAGCAGGAGAGTGAAGGCGGAAAATGGAAGGTGACGAGGAAGTATGGGTGGCTGCAACACAGAGCAAAGCTTCTGCATCAACTGCAGCAGGGAGGCTGAGATTGGCAAGCAGTGGACTTTGAAGGAAAGGGTCTGGAGCTTATATATGACCTCAAGGGCAATAGAAAGCCCCCAGAGCTGCTGATACAGCAACTGGAACCATAGCCTATTGTGGATTCTGGATAAGTCAAGACTGCGACGAAGTGGTAGAGTG